CAGTCCGCCAGGGGTTGCAGCCCCGAACGTCGCCTTTGCTGGAGCGTACCAAGCCACGCCTCATCGCCGGAGACTCTCGTGGCAATGCTGCTACTGAGCGGGGCAAGCGTCCCTTGGCAGAGGGAGCCCGGCCAGCCAACGTTGCCGGAGGCGCGCACGACAATGCTACTGATGCTGGCACTGTGCATGGGTGGCACAACCGTAGGTCTCGCCAGCCACGGCCGCACCCCCAGCTGGTGCACGGTCTGCCTGCTCGGCCCATGGATGGTCGCGTCCCCGCCCGGCAGTGCCTCGGACGTCGCGGATGGGGCTCTGCCCGCCAGCGCATCTCCACTCCAGATGCCGATGGCTAGCGTGAGGTCTTGTCGCAGGGGTCATTAAGTGGTGCCGGAGGGGCACGCCCTGCCCGCACTGCATCGGTGAACCAGCGGCCCCCTACCCGCTATCCGGTAGATCTTCACGGGAAGTGCTTCAACTGTCTCTCCACCACGCACATGGTGGCAACCTGCAAGCTGCCTCCACGCTGCCTCTGTTGAAAGGGGTTCCGACACCTCGTGCGGGACTGTAAGCAGTGACGAAAGGTTCCTCCTTCCAGTTCCGACACAGTTGGTGCCCCAGATGGTCGGCAATGACGCCCTGTCCGGGAACATATCTTGGGCAACCGGCCGCGTACCTAGGGTGGCAAGTCGAGCGCGGCTGGAGCTGTGCCGGGTGCGGCTGCACCTGTGCCAGGTGTGACCACGCGCGGCAGCGGTGGGCGCATACTGCGGAGACATAGGAGACATCGATGTTGACGGAAGGGGGACGACACCGCTGCGGCAATGAGTGTCGCCACCGACATCTACGGGCGGTCGACAGGGGCCGCCCAAGCTACATCAGACTTCACCTCGGTCGATGCTGGAGCTCAAGCATGGCACGGTGGGCCAACCAACGCGATGGGCATCGTTGAGCCTGACCCGTTGACGCTCACGCTGTACCCGGGCGCTACGCATGATCGCGACATCTCGGAGGACCCGATGGTTGAGGAGTTCATAGCCTCGCTTGTCGGCAGCCCCATCGTTGTGTGGCCTTCCCTTGAGCGCCTCCTGTCAACTTCCGCGAACCCCCAGCCTCCAGAGGAGGCCCCCCAGCTGGAGGATGTGGCCCCGGCGGTGGTCTCCCGTGAGCTGCGGACACCACTCCCGCGCCCCATTCAGTGGGCAATTGACTCGCCAAAGACACACACGGTTGACCTCACGGTGGATGGCCCTCCTAGTTCACCACCGCGGGCTACCCACCAGGTTGTGGACAATGACGACTCCGCCAAACGACGCCTTGATAGCTTCATCAACAATGTCACGCGTAAGAGGACTCTCCACTGATTCGCGAACCTCCCAAGCAGTCTCCTACTAAGCCGATGCTGCCGTGGCGGAGCAGCGGTTGGCGGCTCAGAGCCTCTCCCGAGTGCCAGCTTCCAAGCGAGGTAAGGTGTTGATCATGCAGCGTATGGGCTACACCAGGGTCCATTTGCGCCATCCGCTTCGGAGTTGGAGACCTTTGACACGCTCTTCGACGGCAACCTGACTACGTCCGAAGCCAAGGCCCTGGATGAACTCTTTCTAGCCGTTGAAAAGGCATCGTCTAGGCAGCCGCGAAGACGCAATGTCACCTCCTAGGTCACAAAGTTGCGTCGATATTGGTTGTTTCCTTTTATGTAATATCGAAACATGAGGTCTTTTGCTAGGATGGTTCAGCTTCGGCTGTGTTAGGTCGACCTCCTTCGGCGCTCGTCAGAAGCGCATTGTATATTTGTTTAAACTATTCTTGATAGAAAAAAAAAGTTGTGATTTGAGCTTGGTCTCGGCATTTGTTTTTTTTTGTTGGGTTCTGTGCATAGTGGGGTTTTGCGCCTCTTCTGATCCCTCAAAAATTTCGAGGGTTCTGGGAATATAAACTAGTGAGACGTCGTGGCATAAATTGGTGGGGTTAGTTTCCTCCACGTTTGATTGAAGTTCTGCGGTAAGTTCGTTTACAGTTGGCAGTTGGCTTTTGTCTTCGGTCCTAGTTCGTATAAAAAAATATGGCTGTTTTAAGGCCTTGTTTAGTTTTAAGGTGTAAAATTTGGGGGTGTCATCTCGGTTGTCATATGGGGGTGTTGTATGGGGTGTTTGGATACTAATACAAAAATAAATTACAGAATTCGTCAGTAAACCACGAGACGAATTTATTAATCCTAATCAATCCGTTATTAGCGCATGTGTTACTGTAGCACTTTATTGTCAAATCATGGGCTAATTAGGCTTAAAAGATTCGTCTCGTAAAATAGTCGCAATCTGTGTAATTAGTTATTTTTTTAGTCTACATTTAATACTCCATACATGTGTCTAAATATTCGATGGAATAGGGTGTAAACTTTTGGAGAACTAAACCAGGCCTAAATATAAATTTCACCATTTTAATCTTTGTGTATAACGCACTGCACATAATGTTTTTTTAATTAAAGAACTGGATTGATTGAAACTGAAACATATTTATTTAGTTCGGCTTAGCATAGTTCATTTTTTTGCCTATCAGGAAGTTGATCTTCGCGTGGCTTTCCCACTTGATGTGCTGAATGGTGCTCTCAACGCTGGAATGGCTGCAGGACTCATCCTTCTGTTGGAAAGGAAATGCAAAGGGTCTGTCATACTACTTTCAGAAAGATTTTACTTGGATGGTAACAAGTCTTTTGCTTGCCGCCTGGGTGGATCATCATCTCTCTCTGGCTTCAAAGCAAAAGGTCTGGAGCCAAAAGACTTCGGAACCTCTGGCCCAAATAATTGGGAGAGTGGTGCTTCCACTTCTCCTGAGCTACATGGGGGAGGTAACATAGCAGTCACAGCCTTTGCCGATCTGTCATTTGATCTTCCTGTGAAGCCGCTCAGGGAGCTGGGAATTCACTACCATGCATTCGTTTCTGCTGGAAATCTTGCTAAACTAACAGAATATGGGCGTGGGAAGTTTTCCCTTAGGGCCCGTTTAGATCTATAGAATTTGATTGAATTAGAATCATATTGTTTGGGCAGTCTATTTTGGTAGAAATGACAATTCCAATTAATTCCAGGGAAGCCCACAACACCTACATAACATTCCTGGCCTGGAAAACGGAAAGGCTAATTCCATTCTTTTACTACTATATTACTCGCTCTTGCTGCCCATCATGTACTCTGAAGCAGCCACCTGTTTGTAATCGAACGACCACGACACCGTACACCAACGTGGAAGGAGCTGAGTATGCATGCTCAAAGATTCTAGAAAGGTATTCCAATTCAAGGGACCCAAACGGGCCATTACTGACTTCCTACAGACATTCAGAAGTTCTGCAGGATTCGGTGCTGTGCCAACCAGACTGTTCCTCATAGAGGTCCGTCCTGTTGCACTCTTCACATTTTCCAGTGAATTAGTAATGAAGTTGGTGCTTAAAATCTTAGTTAACATTAACATGGTTTTCTCCTCTTCTCCAGATGAACTACTGCTACATCCTGAAACAGTCTGATCATGACAGGGGAAAGGCAGGCGTGCAGTTTAACTTCTCATCGCCCTAATTTGTTTGGCAGCGTTACCTCACACTGGGGACTTCACTTTTGGATGCTGATGTGAATGCTTTGGACTGGAATGATGGAATAGTGTTTGTCCATGGATCCCGCTTGAATCAGCCAACAGTAGGTGGTGACAAATGGTTGCTGCCAAGCACCATAGTGCTGACCATTTCTGGGATTGTGTTTCTTCTGTAGGAAAAGTAGGAACGGCTAATGCAAATCCTGAAACGCCAACATGCGCATTATGCAGAACAGTGCGGTTGTTACCGAGCTACATAGTGTTGAACATTTCTGGGATGTTTTCTGTAGTAAAAGTAGGAATGGCTGATGCAAATATGCCAACTTATGGTTTATTACCTGCAAAGTAAATTACCCCGGATCGGCATGGGAGCAGGGGGTATATTCTTTTTGAAAAACTCCTACCAGTACCCCGGCTCAAACTCAGAGAGAGCAGAGGAGTACCCGGCTTAGCAAGGCTCTAAATTATAAAATATTTTGACTTTTTTAGACAGTGTAGAGGAAGTAGTAGACTTCACTGGACACAAAAAACGACGTCAGCAACACCTTTGATAGCTTGATTGAAGAAATATATGTATGCAGTGGACACACGAACAGTTTCAAAATAACTAATAGCACACCAAAGTTATTATTAACTAATAAGAGGTTCTCCACTATTTTTTTATTAATACAAGTTATAGCAACATTGCTTGAGCACATCCGAACGCAGACTACTCATAACAACCCAGTAAATCAGAGACTGCAGCACAGGCGCTCAAGTACTAGAGCTACACAATGGATACTTTCCATAATTATGAAGGGCAGAAACTTAGACCCAGCACCTAAAGTTCAACAGCATGGCATCGTCGGCAAGTCTCAACAACACTTAGCTTTACCATACAGGGAACTTTAGGCTCAATGTACGTCCTGATGGCCAAGAGCGCTCGTTAAGCTTCCATGAGAACATGAACGGGCAATGGGGAGCACTTGTTACTTTTATTAGCAGGCTCGGAGCACCTAGAAGAACTCTGATGGGTCCTCAATGTAAGGCATTCAAGTGATGTCACGCTCTCAACAATATGGCATGTTAGCTCAACAAGACTCTTTGCTGATGTGAATCCTAGGATCTCCACTGTCTTCATCTTGTGGTGTTGCTGTCCTTGCATCTTCCTCAGATCCGAGGGATCTGCAAATATGCAGCCTGTTCGCTTGCTCGTAAACGATCGTAAATTTCCAGCCGGGAATAGTGTTTTCCTCTCACACCAAACCAGCCAGCAGTAAATAATCCACGATACGATACGGCCTCCCGAACAGGCTGATGGAGACGTGTTCCATTTTCCATTGGGATACCTATATAACATATAAGATGAAAAAGGGAAAAAAAGTTATAGGCATGGTTCTGCAGTGTTAGCTACTGTTACCATAGAAATATGAGCGTCAACTTACAAACAAGACCAAAGTCTCCAAGCAAGGGCAACCATCAAAAAAGGAAACAAGAGAAAAATAATCATAGGCCGGAGGAAAGGTTGCAGCGCTAAGAATAATATTAAGGTTTTTGAGGTGGAGATATTTGCTATGCAGCAATGGCGTATTGATCTGCGAAAAAGATGAACAGGTTAGTTATACTCCAAGGTATATGATATGACTGCTGTAAATATGTAGCATAAAAATATAAGTATTGCTGGTCCAGCCAAAACTTTAGAGTATACCTCACTTCTTGAAGATATAGTGGCAATTTTAAGGTTTGGCATGCTGGACGGAAGTTCAACACAAACGTAATGAACAGCGCCAGAGAAGGACAATCTTAGCTCCTTCATTTGCAATGTTTCTCCGAGTGACAGTTGAATGCGCTTTCCTTCGTAGTCAAAGCTGAAAATATTTGGAGCTTTGCTTTCTATCATTTCCAGCTTGCAACAACCTAAAACCTCTAGGTACCTTAGGCGCTGCAGCGTGCAAGGGACCTTCAAGCAACCTATCCCATCACAATACCTGATTCCCAACACCTCCAAGGCAAAAGAATTGGAGAGAAGGCACCCTAACTCGTCCCCAGTAAAACTGACATGATAAAGATGCAGTTTTGTCAGGCTTCTTAAACAACCAAGTTCAGTTGTGGGACGGAAGGAGCAACCAGTAAAGTGTAGGTATCGGATTGAGTCTCCACTCCCATTAGATAAGAGTGAGCATGGAAAGCTGTATTTTGCTATCATTGGTATTTTAAGTGAAAGTTCTTCGATTCCTGATTTAACAGCAACTTGGAGCCAACTGTCGAGATAACCATTGTAACCTTCACACATCTGAATGTTGAGTTTCTTGACACCAATGCCTGAGTGCCTTTTCAGAATCTGATCAACTTTGCTACAGAAATCTCTGGCAATATCATCATCTTCATATTCCTTCTTATTCGATCTCAGCGTCCTGGCACTGAAAGTGAGGTTGGGATGGCATCTCCAGGAACGCAGAAAAGCACGAGACACACAGGCAGCTCGAGCAGCAGATCGCATTGGCATTAGGGATTGTATATAACACCAGATGTCCTGCACGCATGTTACAAAAGCATGGAAGAGAAATTCAGCATTAGAAATATAAAGGCAAATGGTTACTCTAGATGGAAGGGAAAAGAACTGAAGAAAACTATGCCACCGTAACCCAGGTTCTATGCACATTGTTGCACAATGAGTTTTCAATGGCTGCTTCAAAAACAAAGTATGCAGCTAGAGCTGATTAGATACTTCGAAATCTATTCATACTTCTTTACTTAAAAAAAATGCATGTATGTATGGACAGTGAGGTCGATACATGCTTCAAAATCAGTGTAGATTGGAGTTGGACACAACAAACATGCACGTATGGAGTTATGGAAAGGGTATCAAACTACCAATGGAGCATCTTCTTGATATTAAAACAACAGGAGGTCCATGCAATTGTGTTGTATTGATCAACTTCGTCATCCACAATGCAAGAGACATGATTAAAACCTTAACCACTGAAGTGATAGGGTAATAGACTGAACATGCAGGGGCGGAGGGACAGGGGTGCGCGCCTGGCCCCCCCTAAAGTCATATGATCTTCATTATATATATACCCTAAGTCACTAGAAATTAGATAGAAATTAGCTAAGTATCTTGGTATCATTTGTTGATTGATCTAGCAAAATGGCAAATAAAAAATCTATTTATCTAATGGTTAATAGGTTCCTAAATTTAGTCATAACTCTTCTAGTATCTACTGAGAGGGCCTTTAAAGTAATGGAACTTGTCAGATAAATACTAGAAGATTGTAGATGTTTTTTTGCGTGTATAATTATATATATCTTTGTTTCTCATTTATTTTACTGTTCCATGAATTTTATCGACAATTAGTTGGTTGGTTCTCGGTAGACCAGCCCCCCCACCCAATATCTGAATCCTGGCTCTGCCCCTGTGAACAGGACAGATAACAGAGTTCTATCCTACAAGGGTATGCACTATGCAGGTCTAAATCACAAGGAATTGTCTGTAATGGTCCAATGGTGATAACATGGTACACATCACGGGAGACAGTACTAAATGATGCTGCCTTTAGAGACATGTCACGGCAAACCTAAAAGGGAATCATTTTATTAGATCATACTGCCGCCATTCCAAATTATAAGGAGTTTTAGCTTTTTTAGATACATAGCTGAAAGCTATGCACTTAGATATACACTATGTTAGATACATAGTAAAAGCAATGTATCAAAAAAGCCAAAACATCTTGTAATCCGGAACAGATGGAGTAGATTCTAAGGATTTTATAGATGACATAACAATTACTGGAAAGCAAAATCTATTGATGGTAGGTTGAGAGGCTCCAAGTCCAAGAAATTCCAGCTTTTACACATTGGAGGCCAGAAGAAGGTTTCAGCATTATTATTGTACTTATTTAGGAGCAAACACTAGCTGTTCTTAAAAGTTAATTATGCACAGTTGGGAAAACGCAAGGGTTTGGGTGCCATCGTGACACATGGTTTACTGATATTTCAGTAGCACTAAGCCTACCATTAACAAAATGGCATGGCGTACCTCTGGAAGCCTAGGTATCTGTGCCTCACAACCTTGAGAATCAGCTTCTTGCTGGCAGGGTGAGACCTTATTATTATCCCGTGAAGCAACCAACCCATCTGCAGCACAGCATTGGTGATTATGAGTAACTCGGACATTTGAGGCGCAAAACAACAAATGCACACAGAGGAATCCTTTTTTGTACTCTTGTCAAACATCTGTTGAATAATAATAGTAACACAGACAGCTTGTTAAAACAGAGCATGCAGGTTTTTATCTTTTCCCCAGAGCGTGCATAGTAACCTCTCCTCAGGTTTTGTCAATCTAATGGAAAGGCGGGGGCTGTGGCCCTAATAAAACTCTTAAAAAAAAGGTTTTGTCAATCTGGTCGAAGCCAAAGAAACAATACAGTGCAGGCCATCAGGCACTGCTTTCAATGTCTCCTCCCTCACAAGGAGAGGCTCTCATCTCGGATTTTACTTATACAGGTAAGAGAAAGTAACGGATTCAATTGAATGTATTACTGTAGTAGCAATACTTTAACAATGAGATACGTATTGTATTCCTCTGGAAATCTCCTTGGCTTAGAATTTTTTTTTCTGCAAACAGATTCACATCAAAACTACAAGATGGGTGGAGAAAAAGTTTGGATTTTTCTATCAACCAGATTATAATTATATAAGAAGAAAAAAAACAGAGGAAAAGAAGGCGGCGGCTTACAAGTGGTCTGCGCTCGCCGACGAAGGCGGTCAGGCTGCCGCTCCATGGACATGTGGTGCATGGCCGATAAAGACGCACGGAAGAACTATGGTATGCCCAGCGCGTGGAGGATCCGTTGAGAGTGTCCCTTGTCTCAGTAGGGAACAGTACCTATTGTCTTGAAAAAGAAAGGTCAGTGCTACGGTCCCCTATTGACCGGTGCGGATCACGTTCTAGCATCTAATATCCCGGCCCGCCTAGGCGGAATCGAATCGATCTCTCCCTCTCTGCCTGCCTTGAACTGAATCCCCTCCAGATCCAGCCTCCGGCGTCTCCCCGCGTCAATTTGAGGGAGGAGGGGATTGGACTGAGATTTGGGAATCCCACCCAACAAAGAGTCTTGAGGGCGGTCCGATTTTTTTTTGTACACCTGAAAATAGCTTCAGCGAAGAAGCCCTCCCGGAGCCGGAGCCGGAGCCGTTTTCAACTAGGACGACGAAGCCCCCCAAAACACCTGTGCGCACGCCAAAAGGACAAGTACACTGTACACCCTCCTCAGCTGCACGCGCGATGCCGGGGGCCGGCGCCGGCGAGCTGCCCGGTGGCCTGAGCCCGGCCGGCACGGGAGCGCTGCCCAGCAGCCAAAAATAGGCCGCGAGCTCCACGCCACTCCTAGGCACCGGCTGCGCTACCGCCCGCAGCTACTCCGCTCGTGCTAAGTTGAATAATCATGAATTATCATGATCCAGATTTTGATTTGAGTATCAAACACCTTATGAATTTTTTTATGCTCCCGTTACAACGCACGAGCATCACCTACTCTCTCCGTCACAAAACAAATGTTGCTATGGTATTCGTGCCAATCAAACTTTTTATAATTTAACTAGATTTATAAAAAAAATATTATAATATTTATATCTCAAATTAAATTTATTATAAAAATAGATTCAACGATCTATCTAATGATACTAATTATGTAGTATAAATACTAAAAATGTTTGACTCCTCCCGAAACAAGAACAACACCTACTTTAGGACGGAGTGAGTAGTCATCAATAACAAAAAGAAGACAAACCTCAGGGATTCGGATTCATCCCCTCTTAAAATCGATCGAGTTTTTTTTTTTGCAGGGAGGGGGAACGAAAAAGAAATATCATCTGCTTAAGTGGGAAAAAATATGTAAAAGCAAGAAAAAAGGTGGTCTGGGTATAAAGAATTTGAGAAAAATGAATATTAGTTTGTTATGCAAATGGTGGTGGAAGTTGGAGAATGAGGATGGGTTGTGGCAAGAGATAGTTAGATACAAATACTTAAGAATCAAATCAATTCATACTCTCTTATAAACTGAATGACTCCCCTGTTTGGAGTGATTTACTCAAAGTTAGGGAGGTTTATCTGCTGGGCAGGGCATTAATATTAAAAATGGTTGTCATACACGATTTTGGAAAGACAATTGGTTATACCAGCAACCTTTATGTGAAACTGCCCCTATTCTTTTTGCTCTAAGTGATTTTAAGGATGCTATGGTAGATCAGGTTAGAAACAGAGCTATTGCAATCACCTTTAGAAGATATTTACCTAGAGATCTTAGGTTACAATGGGATCAAATTTGGTCTGATGTGTTGGCCTTCAATCTGGTTGATGAATCCGATACAGTCTTGTGGACTTTAGAAAAGAATAATAAATTTTCTGTAAAATCAATGTATAATGCTTTGACAAGGAGTGAAACTGGGATTTTATTATAAAATGCTTTGGAAAGGAAAGATTCCAGCAAAGATCAAAATCTTTATGTGGCTATTAATGAATGATGCTATATTGACAAAAGACAATCTCCTTAGAAGAAACTGGCAAGGAGACCCTGCTTGTTACTTCTGTGATGAATCTGAAAACATCTCACATCTGTTCTTTCAATGTCATGTAGCAAAAGCAATTTGGGCAATTGTGGCTAAATGTTTTGGAGCTGATAACATTCCAAGAACCTAGAACAAAGCTGGAGATGGTGCAACAGATGGTTGCCTTTTGGTAGGAAGTATCATGTTTTAGGTGTTTCAGCTATCTGCTGGGCAATTTAGAAATCCCGTAATAAAGCTTGTTTTGACAAAATTTTCATAAAGAGTCCCTTGGATATTATCTGTCATATCTGTGCGCTTATAAAATACTGTGCAGGTCTCTATGGTGAGCCGGACAGGGAGCAGCTGATTGAAGGGGTCAACACGATGTTGCGTGTGCCAAACAGAATCCTGAAGCGTCAGAAGGATGACCAGGAAGCTGCAGGGCGACCCGGATGAACAAGATGATGCTCCAGCATAGGAAGCTCCATCTGATGAAATGCTAATTCATGGAGATTGCAAATGACTCGCTGCCATTTTGGGCTTCGTGCCATGTTCTGTGCCTGTTTTACTGTTAAAACCAGAATCTGACTTAAGTTCACAAACCTGTAAGGTGTGATGTTTTGTTGGTCAGTGCTGAGCGTAGGTTATCAGTGCTTCTGGTTACCCTTGGCTCTGAGCCAGAGTCCTTAGGTGCCCTTTAGTCAGGTCAATGTGGAAAACGTTCTCCCTGACTTCTTTCTGTTGTCCCTTAAACTCTGTATTTCCGTTATGAAAGTAATGGGAATGGGAAGGTTTCTCGGGAAAAAAAAAAAAAAAATCGATCGAGTTGAGCACAGATCTCAAATAAAGGCACAGCACCATACACACACACACTCTGGATGCGCACTTTCAGCAATACGTGCAATATACTTGCTGAACAAATTTATCTGTCCTGTTCCTGTCTATCGGATGGTAGGAAATAGGAATACAAGTGCTTTGCATGCTATGGGAGTATGTCTGTATACGGTATACCATGAATAAGTTCAAACGGACATACAATCTGATCCAAAAACCCTGCCACAGTCCAGGAACCAACAATTTACCGTAGAACCTTCTCCAGACACCTCTGAACCACTTTGAACAGCATAACTCTGTACAGTCGGCAACAGCCAGTCTACGATTACAGGAGGATATATCTCACTATCTCCGGCCAACAGCAAAAGCTACTTTCATTCGTCTTTCATGGTCATCTCATGCCTCCTTTTCTGCGCAACCTCGACAAGCAGAGTCAGCAGGGCTTCGCATACTTGCGACGTGTCCGCCTGATCCCTAGGTTCTTCTTTCAGCGATGAATACACCATCCACGCATGGTCTAGCTTCCGCTCCGGCCGGACCACCACTGACCCAGGAACCTCTGCGTCCTTCCTCGTCACGAGACCGTCGCTCTTCTCGCCATACCTTGCCACCAGCAGTTGCGAGCATGCTGCCATCGCGGCTGAAAGCGGCATTACAACTGGGATCCTGGTGGAATTGCCGTCGGCAGCAATCGGGAGCTCCAGGTGTGCAACGTGAGAGAGCGCTGTGAGCACACTGGGAGTGATGCTTGCCTCTGTGTGCAACGAAACGATTGGAACATCCTGAGGCAACGGGTGCTGTCGCAGGAATTCTTTCCGCCTTTCGTAAGTCAGATCTTCTAGAGCCTGCAGATCACCCTGAAGACAAGGCAATGAAGAGAGTGAAGAACAGTCATTCAATAGGCAAGCTGGTTAGTGGCTGGAATGATCCAGGCAAATACCTTAAGGACCTTGGATATCAAGATCTCCATGATCTTACGCAGACTGACATAGTCACCAAGCTGCCCCTCTCGCAGGATATCAGAAGCAACTGGGCTTCCTCCATATGGACTTTGGGCTAATGCTAAACCTGCGACTTTGTCTTTGAGTTGTGGCCAGTAGAGGGAGAGGGCTGCAGCCGCATCAACACCGCCCTTGCTGTGACCAAGAAGTAGCACACGTTTCCTTGATCCCCAGTATATTTCTTCTATGTATTCCTTTATCTCTCGTGCATTTTTACTCACTGAAGACTGCACAGTGGTTTTTTAGTGTACTGCTCTGTGAAATTAAGTGTCAAGAGCAAAGTACAGGTTAATGTATGGTAGTACCTCACTATGAATTTTGGCAATATGGCAAGCTAGACCCATCTTGGAGAAATATGCCTTTGTCTTGACAAAGTAAAGCGGTCCATGGTTACTAAACAAACCTATAAACAGCCAGAAATATAATGTTATCATAAAAAGTTGGAAACTGATAGCTCATAATAGGAGAGGTAGCTGACTAACCTGGAACCAACAAGTAAACCACTGAATCAGGTAGCTTGTGCTCATTTTTTCTGAAGAGAAATGAAATGGTCCATATGAGATAAAGCCCATATTAAATCCACCATTAAAAGCATGTTTAGATATCATCAGCATCGAGTTCGAGTTTGGTACTTCTGCTGACCTCACAGAGTCCAAAATCTCCAAGAATCTGGCTGTCCCATCCTCAGTTGTAGGCAAGCTTTGATCCCGCCGGAGCCAGCCAATATCATCTGCTGAACCACGGACCGTTTTCCGAGCACGCTCAACAAGGCTGCACAAGATATCAGGGACATCTTAGGGGACGCTACTATATCCACTAGAGTTCGATTTATACCATCCAAATTTGATAAAAAAAAATAATTGCATCAAAATGGCATACAATTTCAACTCACAACATACAGTTTTACTTTTTAGTACGAGAAAGATAGACCCACTGTGTATCAAATTCTAAGAAAGGTGCTACACTGAGAGACACTGTGTGTCAAATTCTAATAGGATTTGCATGATAGGAGAAAAACATAAAGATGCCAGAGCAATCTTGTACCCTTGGAACAGTGAAGCTCCATTCTGAAAAACATGCGAAGGCACCATTTGTCCAGTGTTTTCTTGAGAGGGGCTTCCACCACAATCTGCCTGACCAAGGGATGAATTGGTGCCAGCAGGCTCTACTGAAGAAGTCTGAACAGAAAGCCTGCCTGAGGCCGATGTAGGTGGCAGTGTTACTAATTCTTGGCCCTCCTCAGATAGACCTGCATTAAGATGGTAAACATGACCTAGCAGTTAAAACGGAATTATCATAAGAGTTGACATCTCTTACACAATTGACATGAGGGAATTATTTTCCCAGAGTAATTAAAAGAACTAACCCACATAACCAGGTACAGGGAGGCATTGGGTGAGGAATGAAGCTGTCTGGGCAAGATAAGATGCAGCTTGGTTTAAAGCTGGTACGGAGAGGAATAGTTGTGAATCTTCAACCCTGTCGGCTGAGTAACTGTCATCAACCTGTATTAATCAAACAGCAGTTAAAGAAAATAAATAAATTAGCCAAAGAGACTAAAGTACAGTTACAATTTTTTTGCCTATATTGTACCTTTACATACAAAATCATTCAATGAGATTTAGTTATGCTTTCTTGTTATCTGATTATGTACATGTTTCAAGCATCAAAGGAATCACTAATATAAGTGGTGCGCGATATTATAAGAATCATAGCAACAAAGCCTTTAAATTTCAACTTCCAAAATTTGGTATTCGTAGAACAGCGGTGCCAAGGACAACTAGTAGACATAGTCCGTGTACTAATGTCTACGTGATGCAATAATCGAGTATACTTGAGAAAAGAGGGTCTTGGTTGATTGGTTCATCATAGCATGACAGGAAAAGGACTATCATATAGTAAATACAAATCCATGCAAGTCGAACAAAGTTATGGCGTAGGATAACAAAAGGGAAAAATTTGGAAAGTGCACACACCGCAGAAGATGTAGATGGCTCCCCCTGCGTTGGAGGCGATTCCCTCATGACTGGTGTGGTTATCCAGAGAAGAGAGATCTGCTAGCAATGCTCCCATTTTTCCAGGGGCGGACCCAGTAATTTTTGCAAAGCAATCGAAGTTAGTAGGCATAATACATGCATATACACCTGTAATTAGATTCAGATCCGATTACGAATAGTATGTTAGGGTTACCCACGAATTACGTTAAGGTTTGGGCGCACGGCTTCGCACAGCAGGAAGGGAGGACCAAGGGGAGGCAATACCTGGTGTCCTGGTGGTGCTCGTCGCCGGCCAGAGTGGCGAGTGGCGAAGTAGGACAGCAGCGACGGTCGCGGGGACACCGGGGCTGCAGAGGGCGGACGCCGCGCCGGAGCTGGTCGCGAGCACGCTGGGCCCCAGGTGGTTGCTCGACCGAGCGCAGTCTCCTCTCCGGGTTGCGGCGCGGCGAACGGATGGAGGAGGACGGGCCGCGGGCGGCGGGCGAGACGAGTTCAGGCAAGGTTAGAACAAGGGATATTTAACGGATTCGGATTGGGTGGATTCTCTAGGCACCCGAAATGAAAATCCGAATGCGCCCCGAACGGTGAAAATCTAAATCCGACGGATTATCCAAAACCCGAAACCTTGAGACGCCGGGTCGGGTGGGGTGTGGTGAGCGAGAGAGGCCGTAGTAAGGCGTGAGGCTGGGAGCAGGTACGGCGCTTGGGAGCAGAGGCGATGCGGCGCGGGTCTGAGACTCTTAGTTATGATATCTAGTTGATGCTATATGAATTGTTTCGATAAAAAACAATTCATTCGAATTTGTGGTGATTCTTTCACTAATGTCTTCCTCAAAAGTATATCTTTTAACACCAACCAAATCAATTTGTTTCGTATAAAGACAGGAAAGACACTGCCCTTTGAATTTAGAGCATGTATAACTTTGTTGTTATCAAATACAAAGATACTCCAGCACGACTGTACATGTAAATCGAGAAGTTTTACATGTAAACTTGGTCATGGTAACCATGTACAAAGATAATACGATGTGACCAAGTAACAAGGGTGACTAAATAAAGTCACAAAAAAAAAGGGGTGACTAAATAAATAGCACTTTGCAATTACTTCGTCTTGAGTTGGCATGTGGCTGCCGAAGAAGGTTCCTTTCAGGTCCCCTCGTTCAGGAGCTTCATTGGATAAGTCTTAGAATTCAGCACCATTACGAGTTGTGGCACACCCATCAACACAACACTCCCCTAGCTCTGTATTAAGAGCAAAGCAAATAATAGCAAGAAAGCGCATGACACATGTTTATTGATGGCTTACATGACCCATTTGTTGTTGCTTAATACTTATGCTATCCAAACTGACACGCCAGATGACTTGAGTTGCAATGTAGAAACTGGATTTTTTTAGAAGACCAGCGGTCCCTACTGCCTAATGCCATGCTAATTTCACCTTGATGCAAACTTTGAGCAACCTGTAATGTTTGCATTTGAGTAAAGTTTAGCACCTCAACGCATTCATCCTTGATCAGAAAAGGCTATAGGCAGAGAGAAGTACAATTATAGAAGAACACATGATATTGGAACCAAACGAAATCAGAGATATTAAAATAGGGAATCACCATGAAGGGTGCTAAAAAGGCCGCTGACACAGAACTCTAGAGACCATTTGTCCATGGCATATGTGCATGGTCATCCATATAAACGAAGAAGGTTATCCCTGCACGTACTTGTCCAAAGTGCAGGGTTCAGTTCCTTGCTGATATCAGAAGCTGCAAAGCTAGTTTATGCATGCACATGTTTCCAAGATAATTCCATAGTTCCCCATGTGTTCAGCCAAAACATTCTCTGAAAAAAAATGTGTTGCAGTTTGAGAAATGAGATTGCAAAAGGAAAATATGGCCTTAAGAATAGCTTGCAGGTTCATTTCACATTTAAAATTGTTTGCTTGTTCATCTGTGTATCGTTCTGCCTGAAACAAAGAAGCATTGTAAAAGCCATGTGAACAAAACATATAATGGAGAAATTCACCAAAACTTAAAAACGAAGTGAACAACAGCAGCAGCTAGCATGATGATGCAGAGTGTGACTATGCGGTTACTTTCAGAGATTAAATTAGAGATATTTTATGACTTAATAAACCTAGACATCTAGTGCCATACCAAATTTCTGAAATATCAGATTGCAAATCCAAATATTTTTCAGTTTCACGATTTCTCCCGTTCATGGGCCCATGAGAAATTGGTTCTAAGCACCAACATGGTTGACTATATTTTTTTCTCAAATATTTGAATCAGTGCATTCTACCTGAAATTTTGAAGCCTGAACTTGCACATTGGTTCGAAACTGTTAAACTCTGAACCCCAATGCTTAGAACTCTAAAACCCTGAACTCTTAACCTGCCTATCTCGCTGCACATGGCTACTGTTCATGGGCCAACAATGGGGGCATCTCTGAATTCAGATTCATGATTTGCAGCAAGATCCAAAAGAAGAAACTACAATGCTTTGATAGAAACACAACTTTGTCTTTCTTCTACACTACAATGATTTGTCATTAAAGAATATTGCAAGCACTGGTCATACAAATGCAGATATACAAACATACTATTGCACTTGACTCCTTGTAAACTCCAATGTTGTTCATGTCAACAAAAAAATATGCAGTCCAATAAGAAATAATATGATGGACTGGTTTTCTTAATATATACCTATTGTTGTTATCTTCAGCATAAGAGAGGACATCTAGAAGGCTGGAAGAAATAGAAATATGGACATGTGTCATAGATAAACAGTAGCAAATGCAATTGCTCCTGCTTGCGGCGGTTCCGGTAGACAGAGCGTGGCGGGGCGACGCGCATGGAGTTGGTGTGTTTAGCGGGGACACATGAACAGTTTCAAAATAACTAATGGCATCGTCGGCAAGTCTCAACAACATGTAGCTTTACCATAGCGGGAACTTTAGGCTCAATGTATGTCCTGATGGCCAAGAGCCCTCGTTGAGCTTCCTTGAGAACATGAATGGGCAATGGGGAGCACTTGTTACTTTTATCAGCAGGCTCGAAGCACCTAGAAGAACTCTGATAGGTCTCCAATGTAAGGCATTCGAGTGATGTCATGCTCTCAACAATATGGCATGTTAGCTCAACAAGACTCTTTGCTGACGTGAATCCTAGGATCTTCACTGTCTTCATCTTGTGGTGCTGCTGTCCTTGCATCTTCCTCAGACCTGAGGGATCCGTGAATATGGAGACGTGTTCCATTTCATACTGGGACACCTACAACATATAATATGAAAAAGGAAAAAAAGTTATAGTCATGGTTCTGAAGTGTTTACTACTGTTAGATTAGAAATATGAACGGCAACTTACATCCAAGACCAAAGTTTCCAAGGAAGGGCAACCATCAAAAAAGGAAACAAGAGAAAAATAATCGTAGGCCGGAGGAAAGGTTGCAGCGCAAAGAAAAATAGTAAGGCTTTTGAGGTGGAGATATTTGCTATGCAGCAATGGTGTATTGATCTGTGAAAAAGATGAACAGGTTAGTTATACTCCAAGGTATATGACTGCTGTAAATATATGGAATCAAAATATGAATATTGCTGGTCCAGCCAAGACGAGTATACCTCTCTTCTCGAAGATATAGTGGCAACTTTAAGGTTTGGCATGCTGGACGGAAGTTCAACACAAACGTAATGAACTGCGCCAGAGAAGGACAATCTTAGCTCCTTCATTTGCAATGTTTCTCCGAGTGACAGTTGAATGCGCTTTCCTTTGTAGTCAAAGCTGAAAATATTTGGAGCTTTGCTTTCTATCATTTCCAGCTTGCAACAACCTAAAACCTCTAGGTACCTTAGGCGCTGCAGCGTGCAAGGGACCTTGAAGCAACCTATCCCATCACAATACCTGATTCCCAACACCTCCAAGGCAAAAGAATTGGAGAGAAGGCACCCTAACTCGTCCCAAGTAAAACTGACATGATAAAGATGCAGTTTTGTCAGGCTTCTTAAACAACCAAGTTCAGTTGTGGGACGGAAGGAGCAACCAGTAAAGTGTACGTATCGGATTGAGTCTCCACTCCCATTAGATAAGAGTGAGCATGGAAAGCTGTATTTTGCTATCATTGGTATTTTAAGTGAAAGTTCTTCGATTCCTGATTTAACAGCAACTTGGAGCCAACTGTCGAGATAACCATTGTAACCTTCACACATCTGAATGTTGAGTTTCTTGACACCAATGCCTGAGTGCCTTTTCAGAATCTGGTCAACTTTGCTACAGAAATCTCTGGCAATATCATCATCTTCATATTCCTTCTTATTCGATCTCAGCGTCCTGGCACTGAAAGTGAGGTTGGGATGGCATCTCCAGGAATGCAGAAAAGCACGAGACACACAGGCAGCTCGAGCAGCAGATCGCATTGGCATTAGGGAATGTATATAACACCAGATGTCCTGCACGCATGTTACAAAAGCATGGAAGAGAAATTCAGCATTAGAAATATAAAGGCAAATGGTTACTCTAGATGGAGGGGAAAAGAACTGAAGAAAACTATGCCACCGTAACCCAGGTTCTATGCACATTGTTGCACAATGAGTTTTCAATGGCTGCTTCAAAAACAAAGTATGCAGCTAGAGCTGATTAGATACTTCGAAATCTATTCATACTTCTTTACTTAAAAAAAATGCATGTATGTATGGACAGTGAGATCGATACATGCTTCAAAATCAGTGTAGATTGGAGTTGGACACAACAAACATGCACGTATGGAGTTATGGAAAGGGTATCAAACTACCAATGGAGCATCTTCTTGATATTAAAACAACAGGAGGTCCATGCAATTGTGTTGTATTGATCAACTTCGTCAGCCATAATGCAAGAGACATGATTAAAACCTTAACCACTGAAGTGATAGGATAATAGACTGAACAGGCAGGGGCGGAGGGACAGGGGTGCGCGCCTGCCCCCCCTAAAGTCATATGATCTTCATTATATATACTCTAAGTCACTAGAAATTAGCTAAGTATCTTGGTATCATTTGTTGATTGATCTAGCAAAATGGCAAATAAAAAATCTATTTATCTAATGGTTAATAGGTTCCTAAATTTAGTCATAACTCTTCTAGTATCTACTGTGAGAGGGCCTTTAAAGTAATGGAACTTGTCAGATAAATACTAGAAGTAAGATTGTAGATGGTTTTTTGCGTGTATAATTATATATATCTTTGTTTCTCATTTATTTTACTGTTCCATGAATTTTATCAACAATTAGTTGGTTGGTTCTCGGTAGGCCAGCCCCCCCACCCAATATCTGAATCCTGGCTCTGCCCCTGTGAACAGGACAGATAAAAGAGTTCTATCCTACAAGGGTATGCACTATGCAGGTCTAAATCACAAGGAATTGTCTGTAATGGTCCAATGGTGATAACATGGTACACATCAAGGGAGACAGTACTAAATGATGCTGCCTTTAGATACATAAACCTAAAAGGGAATCATTTTATTAGATCATACTGCCGCCATTCCCAATTATAAGGTGTTTTAGCTTTTTTAGATACATAGCTTTTGCTATGCACTTAGATATACACTATGTCAGATACATAGTAAAAGCAATGTATCTAAAAAAGCCAAAACATCTTGTAATCCGGAACAGATGGAGTAGATTCTAAGGATTTTATAGATGACATAACGATTACTGGAAAGCAAAATCTATTGATGGTAGGTTGAGAGGCTCCAAGTCCAAGAAATTCCAGCTTTTACACATTGGAGGCCAGAAGAAGGTTTCAGCATTATTATTGTACTTATTTAGGAGCAAACACTAGCTGTTCTTAAAAGTTAATTATGCACAGTTGGGAAAACGCAAGGGTTTGGGAGCCATCGTGACACATGGTTTACTGATATTTCAGTAGCACTAAGCCTACCATTAACAAAATGCCATGGCGTACCTCTGGAAGCCTAGGTATCTGTGCCTCACCACCTTGAGAATCAGCTTCTTGCTGGCAGGGTGAGGCCTTATTATTATCCCGTGAAGCAACCAACCCATCTGCAGCACAGCATTGGTGATTATGAGTAACTCGGACATTTGAGGCGCAAAACAACAAATGCACAGAGAGGAATCCTTTTTTGTACTCTTGTCAAACATCTGTTGAATAATAATAGTAACACAGACAGCTTGTTAAAACAGAGCATGCAGGTTTTTGTCTTTTCCCCAGAGCGTGCATAGTAACCCCTCCTCAGGTTTTGTCAATCTAATGGAAAGGCAGGGGCTGTGGCCCTAATAAAACTCTTAAAAAAAGGTTTAATAAAACTCTTAAAAAAAAGGTTTTGTCAATCTGGTCGAAGCCAAAGAAACAATACAGTGCAGGCCATCAGCCACTGCTTTCAATGTCTCCTCCCTCACAAGGAGAGGCTCTCATCTCGGATTTTACTTATACAGGTAAGAGAAAGTAACGGATTCAATTGAATGTATTACTGTAGTAGCAATACTTTAACAATGAGATACGTATTGTATTCCTCTGGAAATCTCCTTGGCTTAGAATTTTTTTTTTCTGCAAACAGATTCACATCAAAACTACAAGATGGGTGGAGAAAAAGTTTGGATTTTTCTATCAACCAGATTATAATTATATAAGAAGAAAAAAAAACAGAGAGGAAAAGAAGGCGGCGGCTTACAAGTGGTCTGCGCTCGCCGACGAAGGCGGTCCGGCTGCCGCTCCATGGATATATAATCTATATATCCCGGCCCGCCTTAAGGCGGAATCGAATCGATCTCTCCCTCTCTGCCTGCCTTGAACTGAATCCCCTCCAGATCCAGCCTCCGGCGTCTCCCCTCCGGGCTCCGGCCCTCCCTACTGGAGGAGCGTCAATTTGAGGGAGGGGATTGTACTGAGATTTGGAAATCCCACCCAACAAAGAGTCTTAGTTGGTGAATGGGAGACTCACAGAGAGGAGCTATGGCCGAGCAGGCTCCAGCTGCGGTTGTGCGGGCGGGAGGGAAGGAGCGCGATAACAAGGCCGCGGGCGTGCTGGGCGTCGTGCGCGGGCGGCGGTTCCGCGGACGCTCGCTACACAGGGAGAGGCGCGGGAGTCGTTGCGGCAGTTCCGGTAGAGAGAGCGTGGCGGGGCTGGCGTGTTTCGCGGGGGCGATTAGCGCGGATTAGCGAGGCGAAAACGATATCATCCGGGTCTTTTTAAGCCGCACGGCTTATCAAAACGGTTACACCGGTGAAGCCAAAGACGATGAAGACAGAAAAACTAGTTTTTCTTGGCTTCAGTTCATTTTAACTCTGGCTTACAAAACGGTTTCACGCTACAATGCTTCGATTTGCGCAAAATAGATGAAGCCGAAGCCGGCATAAGCCATGCCAAAGAGGCCCTTAGTTGCAACAAGATAAATACCTAGGGTTTTAGATGGCCTGCTAGTGGGGCCCAATTATTTCAGGACCCAACGGTAATCCACGGATCAAATTGAGAATCCGCACCAAATCCGCAAAATTTTGGATATGTGAATCAAAAAACCGTCAGTGCAAAACTATCATCGCAACCAAAACCGTAGGACGAGAAACCCGCGAATACCCACCCCGAACCCGCCCCCGCTGCCATCCTTAGAGATGACACATCTCCATTTGCCAGCTTTAGACGGATACCTACAGAATTGCCCTTCAAAACAGTGAACTGCCTACATTTTTTTGTACTTTCACTGACGTGGCACACCACGGGTGCATGCCAGCGCGGCAGCGTCTCTAGAAACCCCTACCGGACACGCGAAATGACCTATATTACCCCTACTGCTTCTTTCCCTCCACTTGCTGACGCGTGGGCCCCACATGTCAGCTTCTTCTCCCACCTCCATCCATCACCATGCATCGAGGGGAGGGCGGAGCTCGTGCGGAGTCCTGGCCATGTTGAACTCCATGGGGCCAAGGAGGTGCTCCTGCTTGGAATCGGAGGGAGTTGGCCCGCTGCTAAGGGTGCACAACAGCGGTGTGGGAGCTGCAGCAGCACAGAGGGTGAGGAGAAGTCAGTTGCGGCACCCTCGAACAACAGCACAAGCAGGAGACAGCCGCGCTTGCCGAAGCCAGGGTCGCGCCCACCAGAGCTGTCGATGTTTCACCACCGATAGCCTGCCACGGGGGTCCCTGGGGTAGTATTATTCGGGCTTCAGCGTATGCGGAACTCGACGGTGAACGCAAGAGACAGTCGATTTATCCTGGTTCAGGTCCTCGACTGTGGTCGAGTAACAGCCATACGTCCAGTCGGCGTTAGCCTTTGCGTTGGATTGATTGTGTTGTAGAAATCCTGATCTCCCTTCTATAGGAACCCTGTCCTCCTTTATATAGTCAGGAGGTCAGATTCCTAGTCGGTTTACAATGAGAGTTCCTAGTAGGATTACAAAATAATACTACTACTAAGATTACATGGGGAGAATCCTAGTTAGACTAGATCTTCTCTCTTCCTTGCGGGGTATCCTGTGGGTCCCGCATCGACAAGCCTCCGAGCACTTCATGGTTGAACTCCGAAAGCCTTGTCTTGTTCCTCTAGGTCCTACCGAGCAGAAACAAGCGTCGCCCGAGTGCTTTCTTTAGTGAAACCATATAGCGCTTCTTGGAATCTTCGAAAAAAGTACTCCCATCTGGGTGTAGCCCCCGAGCCTCTTGCTATTTGGAACAAGGAGCTGGAGGGTCTTGTCCTGAAATTGCTCTGATTCTTCGTTGAAGGGCTCTCGAGCATACTATATCCGAGTTCTTTTTGGGTGGGTGCAATTTTTCGTAACAATTGCACTCACTGAGTGTAGCCCCCGAGCCTCTTGCTTTTGCTTGCAAAAGTTGGAGGGTCCAGATTCTTGTCTTCAAAAAATTCTGGGGCTATGTATCCCGTAGCCCCGAGCCTTCTTCGAGTTCTTTTCTTTAGAAAAGAAATCGGATGAAGGGTTTTGATGTGTTGTCGTCGTTGTAGACTTGAGTTTCTTGTATTCTTGGTCCTTTGTCTTTGATTCCGAGCTTAGTGACATAATATATGAGTTGTTTTCGATCAATCTGAGTTGTTTCTGGACATGCATGATCTTCGTTGAAAGGTCTCCGAGCATGTTCCCGGGTTCTTTATCAAGAAGAGCTTGGGTATAGCTCAGTCCGACTTCTTTTTGTCGTGAGTCCTTAAAGTAGTTTTGTCTTGAAAAAGTCTTCTTGGTGACGTGCACTTTTTTTTTGAGAGAAAAAAGTGCACTCACTGAGTGTAGCCCCCGAGCCTCTTGCTGTTTGGAACAAAGAGTTGGAGGGTCTTGAGTCTGATTTGTTCGAGGAACTAAAATTTAACTGAAAATTTCTCTTGTTGTGGTAGTCTGCCGTTTGCCAGGTGAGGTTGTATGGTGGCGGTTGGGTATAAATGTTGCCTGTTTACAGGTTGCACAGTGTTGGTATATTCTTCCGAATATGCTCGTTTTTGAGTACTGTGCCTGAGTCTTCTATTATTGAGTCCTGTCTTTTCACTGTGTTCTTTGTAAGGCCTGTTTCGTTGGTACTCCTAGTCCATGTGCACCGCTCCTTCGATCTATAAATACCCTCCCGGAGTGCTTGTTTTCTTCCATTGAACATCTTGAATCTTCGTAGCCATGAATATGGTAGTTTGCGAAGTAGAGCAGCCCCCGGGCGTCTTTTGTAGTTCCTGTACGTCTTGTTGTAGCTGGAGGAAGTCTTGTGATAGGGGTTAGAGGTAGACTAACCCCGCAGCAGCAATGTACCAGGAAGTACGTAGCGGTAGTTGGAGGAAGTCTTGTGATGTGGGCTTCGTTCCTTCATCCGGCAGTTCTGGGTTGATCTTCGCCGTCTGTCTTGAGACTGTCCGGTGCAGATCAACACCTAATCCTGCATCACGTCGGGCTTGGTTAGACAGATGCCTACCGACTTCCCCTGGTCTTTGTCTTCCCGCCGTGCTGCTGATTTCCGCCTTGGATGCACTTCGTCCGTCCTTTGAAGAAAATAGTGTAGCCGATCGCGGTTTGTTCTACCGAGTAGCAATTTGGAGCACATAGTCGTTCCAGAGCCTAGTTGCGTCCGGGCTCCTCTTTGCTACTTTGCTTGTCGTAGTGCCGAGTTCATTGGGTCTTGTAAGATGTGTAATCTTCTATCTTTGAAGCCATTTGTAATAGAAAGAATCTTGTCTTCAGAGTTGCCATTCATTTTTCCACTGTAATCCTAGTTATTCATGAGATTCCCGAGTTCTCTCTTTAATAACCGGGTTCTTTTGTTCCTCGCGAGGTAGCCCTTTCTTTCTTCTTGGTTGACGGGTTGTTCTTGTAGTGATCTGATAACCCTGCCGTGGTGCTGGACGGATAAGTCTGAAATCTGCCCGTTAAATTGTACCGTTGTGTGGATTTGTGCCGTCCGTCATTTTAGCTGTGTTAGTAAATGGACCGTCGCGTTCCCACACCGTGCTTTAACGGGCCTTGTGGGCTATTTTTATCACTGAAAAATATATTTAAAGACCTTTTATCTTCCTTTTCTTTGCTGCCCAGCTCTTGCCTTGAAACCCTAGCTTTCAGAAATCCGCCGCTGTCATCATCGCCGTCACCCGAGCACCACCATCCTAGCTTCATCTTCCCCAGTACCTTTTTGCTTCCACTAGTTCATGGGTAAGAAGAAAACCGCGAGCAAGTCCCAGGCAGCCTTTGTGGACGAGGAGTCATCCCTTTCTTTGATCGAGAACCAAGAGTTCGTGGCCATGAGGGCTGCTTAGAAGGTTTGACCGGCCCCAACAACAACCGAAGACCAGCTACGCGAGCTCATCAGCGATGGCTTGATCCAAAGCAAAGACATCGCTGAATGGAGAGTTCCGGGCGAGCATCGGGTTCCTGCTCCGGGTCCTGGTGAGATTGTCCTTTTCGTTTCCTTTGTCCGCGCCGGACTTTGCCTTCCTACTTCCGCCTTTCTTCACCAGTTTCTTGGTTATTTCGGGGTTAGTCTGAACCATCTAACCCCTAATGTCGTTCTCCATCTTTCCGTTTTTGTTCATCTCTATGAAGCTTTCCTTGGAATCCCTCCTTCTCTATCTCTTTTTCGCTACTTCTTTCATCTGAAGCCTCAACCTCATCGCGAAGAGACCAATGTTCTCGGTGGCTGTGGGATCCAGTTTCGCCAGGGTCTTAAAAGCAAGTTCTTTGACTATGACCTGGTTGATTCTGTGAAGGATTGGCGTGCTGATTGGTTTTATGCCGCCAATTTGATTCCTTCTCTTTCCGTACATTCTGGGTCTGGTCCCTTGGTTAATGACCGGTGGGATAAGAACCCCGTGTCACCCGCTGAAGTCCAGGCAATCCAACCACTCCTTAATAAGATTAGTATGCTGAAACAGCAGGGTTTAACCGGTTTTGGGATTGTTTCGAGTTTCCTTCGTCGCCGAGTTTAGCCTTTGAAGGAGCGTGAGCATTTTGGCTTCGAATACTCTGTGGCTGAGGATCCTTCACGTATGGTCCCAGCTCTTAAGCTGACCGATGAGGAGGTACTTGAGCGTCTCCAGAAGATGTTGAAAGGAGCAAGCGTCGTCCCGCTTACTGTCTCCGAGTTCTCTGCTAACAACTCGCCTCCAGCTGTAAGTTGTTTATCTCTTTGTCCGGGTACTTTGTGTACTCTTGTTGTATCCATTTTTGTTTAACTTTTCCCTGTCTTGTTGTATAGGAGTTTGGGCGCAACTTTGTTGACCCGATCCCCCTAGATGTTCTCCCTA